GCCTCACACACACAAATGTTACATGGAATATATGTATGTGCGTGTGTGTGTGTGTGTGTGTCTATGTGCACAATCTCAATCTTTTCCAATGCAAACAACTTCCTCTGCTCCACTGTCATTCTTGGCCGGCGTCCAGACAAACTGTTTATTTTAGAAAACGGCTGAACCGTGTGGAAAAGGGACGACTCTAAACATTTTGGTGGAACTGAAAAAAAAAAAAGGAGAGAAAAGAAAAAGTAACCGCCACGGCTCGAGTTCCCAACACGTGTATTTCTCTTCAGTGATTCAGCTCGTATGAATACATAAACATCTTCCCATCAAATGCAGCTGATCCTCCATCGCCTCCCGCTTTGATCTCCACAGTTGGAAATGTAGATTTGTTCCTGCAGGCCACAGTCAGAGGTTCACTTCCAAACTTCAGATAGCCGTTTTCAACATTTGACCGTGAACTAGATTTTTCAACAAAACTTTTAAAAATGTACCACACTGTAAAAAAAAAAAAAGAAACACTTGGAATTTCTTGACTAATTTACTGTTATTTTTCATGTTAAGTTACAAGTAACAGAAAAAGAATATAAACATTTTTAAAAAATATATATATAAATGATCAAAACTATGAATTTCAGTAGTGTATTTAAATCTTTAAAAATATTGTTATATTACAAATAATGATGTTATGAAAAAATGTATATTAACGATGAAGAAACAGCAAATAATTAAAAAAAAACTTGTTTCATTATTTATTTATTTATTTTAGGGATGCATGATATATCGGCGACCACATTGGTATCAGCCGATATTATTGTTTTTATCGATATATCGGTATTAGTCTGATGAACTAATTTAGCCGATGTGAAAAACTGTTGATTGTCTAACTTTAGAGCCTTCATGTCTACATTTGATATTGCTGCTATTTCACAGATGTTTTTACTTAAATGTTCCTGGACTTGAATGTTAAATATGTTAAAATATATTTAAATATGTTTTACTTTTGTTACGTAATAAAGAAGACTATGTGGTCTAATTTGGGCTTCTTTTGAATAGTTTTCACCTTCTCACAGTGCTTAGTTATACTTGTTTTTTGGTGTGAACAAAAATTGAATATCGACATCGGTAATATCGGTTATCGGCAATATCAGAAATCTTTATATCAGATATCGTTATCGGCCAGAAATTTTAATGTCGTGCATCACAAATTTTTTTCTTGTCTTGTAAAATTACGGAAAAAATCAAAGAAAAAATATAGAAATATACATGTTGAAAAAGCAGCTTAAAACTGTATGTACATAATGTCCGTATCAAAAATATGTACACGTACAAATGTACAACCATAAAATCACACTGTTGTACTGTATTAAAAATGCTCTCATTTTACAGATATTTGCTGAATATTGAACATTGTTATTGTTTTTTAACATTACACTATTCTATGTTTTTGTTTTTTAACATATTTTGCACTGTTTAGATCAGATCGCAGATCTGTTGAAGCTGTAAAGTGAGTCAGGTGCTTTTTATAGTCTTTAAAAGTCTTTTTATTTCTGGTAATTACACCATCTAAGATGAAAAACACAAACTGCTTTAAAACACTGCTTTTCAGATGCTGTAACATGGTTATCCAGTTAGTGCAACTTTCTTGTGGCATATTTATTTTTTCGTCTACTGACTAATAAGTGGTCCACAGGACATGCAGCAGGTCTGGCAGCTGTGAAGAACTTCCTCTGCTGGTTAGTTCGGTTAGATCCTTTTTTTTTTGTTGTTCTAAATGAATGTTGGAATTTCAGGATAGCTCTCTAAAACTTTCTCTAAAAGCAACATTGACCAAATTCTCTCAGCATTTTCATGTTTTACCAACTGGACGTTGGACAACATGTCTAATCGATACCCAGTATTTACACTGAGGCTACCGTCTGCCCACCCACAGGTGACTGAAGTCATTTTTTGGGGGCCACTTCTTTCATCCTCATTCTTAATAAACTGTCAGAAGTTGTAAAATTAAGAACAGTATCGTATGATTGGTAGGGTGACTGATAAGCACAACTAATCTACACAGTACGCTTTGATTGATACAAGGAAGAGGTTCTGCCTGTGTGGCTGTAAAAAAAAAGTTACTAATGTAAATTTGGCTGCTATCCCATTCAAAGTAATCTTATTGTGCAACGATACACTGCTCCCAGCACTCACTCCTGCCACATTAGGAAGTCCCGTCCTGATTACATTTGTGATTTCCCCTCACAGCTCCAACGACGACATCAAATTCTGTCAAGGATCATCACCGGTGATAAGAGGTGGATCTGCAGCCCCATCCATTCCACATCCAGAGGAATCTGAACTAGAACTTCTGTAGATTTTTATTTTTCTGTTGATATTTCTTAAATGTTTGCACTATTCACTTTGCTGCTGTAACAATGCAAATTTTCCCAGTGTGGGATTAATAACGGCTTATCACGTCATATAATTTATACCACTAACGAGTAGACTGTGATTGTTCAAATGGCAATTATCTGAATAATTCGTTTAGTAAACACAAGTTAGAAGAACAGTGTTGGGAAGACCAAATATAAAACGCTTTCCATTCACATGCATGACTGTCAGAATCTTTGTCTCAGTTGTTCTTTCTCCGGTTGATTCTTCGGACTTGAGACACAAAACGTTAATGGTTCATGTCGGATTGATTCCCCCGACAAGCTCAAACTGCTGTGGTCATTCTTTCCTTTATTGGTGTGTCTGACTGCAGCCACAGAGAAACCACGAGGGGTGACAAACTGGGGAAAAGACCGCAGAGGAGGCAAATATTCAGCAATCGAAAAATGAAATGCTGCCAGGGAAAGAATGCAAAGCACTATTCAACATATGCAGCCAATATGTGCGATCAAGTCTTATTACAAGGTCCATTAGTCTGTAATAACAGCAGGACAACATGAGGGTTCCTGAGGTGGGTTCAGCTTAAAGATTCCAACAATAGCTTACAGAAAAGGTGCTAAATATGTATACTGAAGCTTTTTCCAGTCAATTATGAGGAGAACTACATTTTAAAAACCCCTACATATAGATTTTGCAGACTCCAGGACTATTTTTGTTCAGCACTAACCCACACAGGGTGATTAAAATGTCAGGACAAGGTTTTAGGTGTCAGAAAATCCTCCAATGCAACAATGCCATAACAAAAAAAATCTCTTTTCTCTTTCTAGAATTAAATTATGATCTGGAGACACATTCCAGCAACATCTTCTTGGGATTAATTAGCTGCCAATATCGCAGATGGCCTGTTTGAACCATTATTTCACATCCCCTGTCCTCAAAAGATGGACTTTAGATGAGGTATTAGAGGTTTTGGAGATAAAAACCAGCAGGGTCCTGAAAGACAGACAGTACAATCCTCTTCAGCATATCTGTTAACCCAGATTAAAGGACTGTTGATACACTAGTTCCTCTTTAAGACATCTGCGGGAAATGGTAGCGTGACCTCAAGTATGTGTTTGTGAATGTTGTTTTCTTATTGTCTCGTTTAGTTCGTTGATTCAGTGGTGAGCAACACGAAAGGCGAGTTTAAAAAGCCTACCGGGACATTTCTGAATGTATAAACGTTAAGAAACACAGGCTCCAGTTACACAGACAGAAACTCTTGACTCAACGCCGTGGAAGCTCCGATCACAACATTCACACGCACAAATCTTTAGTGTTTAAGACTACTGGCTAAAGTGCCTCAACCCAGGAGAGAGAAAATCTGTTGAAAACTCAGTTTGTCCAATAAGTTATTAAAAGTATTGGAAGCCATGTGATGATAAGACTGTGTCTGGAGAGAAAATATTGACATGAGGGTGCAGAATAGAGAGCGGGAGGGGAGTCAGGGAAACTGTCTCTGGTGTTAAATTGAACGCTTCGGTAAAGAATTAGCACCAATTTATGCTGTCGAATGCAATCAGACTAAATGTGGAATCAATTCCAAATCTGCAAAGTACCACAAAAAGGGTTTGTGCATCTAAATTAACGAGTGCATAATCACCTTTAGGCGTCCTCAAATGCGCCTCACAAGGTCCTTTTCAAACTCCAAATCACACAAGTTAAACAAGCCAAAACACATTATTAAATATCTGCTGTGTAGTTTTGTTCTGGGATTGATTGATACGCAGTGATTTTTCAATTCTATTAATTTGCAAATCTACAAAAAAGCGTTTTTGTGGCCATTACTGGAGGTCTGGTAACTGCGGCTGTAGACCTGCTGTATGGCTGTGTAAAAATCACTGTTAACTCTGCTTCACTGAGCTCTTCTTATGACAGTAAAGCGGTTTCAACATCAGAAGTTTAGCAGGAAAGCGGTTAAAAATGAGATTCCTACACTATCTGTTGATAACCATGTGTTTTCAAGTCATGCATGAACCAACCTAAATGTAAATACCACAAATCTAAGGGAGAAAGAATTAATATTACTAATGTTGGCTGGTAGAATTGGTGTATCAATAAAAGCAAAATGCAACAAAGTGCAATTAAAACTGTCTTTCTCGAATAAATCAAGTGCATGAAGCATGTTAATTTACCCTGAAGCAAACACAAATGACATATTTCCATCACGTTTGCGACATTGATTTTAACATACATCTCCTTGTTGCACCTTTCCTCTTCCTCTACAACAGTTTATTGGTGCTCAAGAAGAGAATGTATCACTTTAAGACCAGACAGTTCTCACATTAGAAAAAAAACATAGGTGTTGTTAAAGCTGCCTCTGTTCCATGAAGTGACCCAATAAGCCATGACAGTAACACAACATGCACCAAAAGCACCACTTTAGTAGGATGCGGCCATCATTGTTATACCTCTGGATCCACTACACTGGGAAGTAAGAACGTCTGCAGTGAACAAAAATCTGTTAGCATTACCTGTTGTGTGCTAAGTGTACATAAACTGGCTTTGTGTCTTTTCTTTTTTGCTCAACTTTGCACTTGATTTGGACGGATTCAACGAAAAGAAAAGATCAAAGCAACCAGCGATGTGGCGTTACTGACCTCGGTGACATCCATGACCTTGATGGCCGCCAGTTGTCCCGTCTTGACATGTCGACCCTGGATAGAAAAAACAGAAAAGAGGAGACATGAGGAAAATGCTTCCGTGTGAATAGTTAAGTTACAGGAAAGTTCAGAAGGAACGTGACGATGATGCCAACATTTTTTTTTTTTCCTGCTTTGACGAAAGAAGCCAGAAAGTGACCAATTTCCAGCAAGTGTGAGGACAATGACGTGCAAATTGATGGTATGAGTCAAAGAGCTTCCCAGATGATAGCTTCGTAGGCTGAGTAAACATATGGGCCGATTCGGTTGGTCGTGAAAACAAAAACCACATTCAGAACAAGTCGCTCGCCTCGACAATAGCGCAGAGAATCACATCCAAAGCCTCAGCATTCCTGAACAGACTGAACACCATGTGGACCCAAGTTAAAGCACTCAAGTGAACATTCCAAATACGAAAATCTTCAACAAATTTAAATAGTATATAAACTAAGACAAGAGGCAATAATAAATAATCGGCTCACCTAATTGTGTGTGTGTAACTAGTCTGCAGCTTTACTATGTTGCATGAAAGATCACATTTGTTGATGTTGCCATGGTGATGGCGCTGCACATGGACGCAGCGCCCCCTTCAGGAGGCAGGGAGAGTGAACGTTTGGCGTTTTGTCTATCCCAGACGTTCATTCTACAAACCTTACGAATCAAATGATCCTGAAGAAATGCTTTGTCTCTTGCCTGTACTACTGTGTATGTACAGCAAAATGACAATAAACATGATTTGAATTTGAATTTATTTTTAATTTTGCAAAATTTCACAATGCAAGTCACTATCCCCCAAGTAAGTATTGAACTCTTAACACAGTTTTCTGGCCTGCTACCTTTTAGATATGCAAACAGCTTCCCACAACACAAATGCGTATTGTTCTTAACTGTGCTACTTTTTAAGTCCGCTTGGAGGCAACAATCAGTGTCTAAATAATCTAACGTATACGCAGCTGGTTGAACAAAACGACCACACTGACTCTGTTCTTGCAGATGTGGAAAGTGCAACACTATCCTAAAACCCCCACCGCGGTAAAGTTACCTCTGCGGGTTAATGTCGAACAATGATCAAATGTTTTCACAGATGGAAAAGCTGAGCGGGAAGACAAACAGACAGAAAGTGTAAAAAAGTCTGCATCATGTCTGCAGCCGGTATCTGTGCATGTGTGTCTGAACTGCCACCAGATCGGGTTTCCTTTGTGAGAAAAAGGGACAGCGACACCTGAGCCAGCGGCCCCCGTTCCTGAATGAAGTTGGCGCAGTCCACAGTCTGAGTGATGAGAGATTAACCCATTTTGGTTTTAGCCAAAGGGGACGTGTGTGTATATGTGTGTGTGTGTGTGTGTGTGTGTGTGGAGACGGCGTAAAGGTCAAGGCTGATGGAGAGCAAACTGAAAAAAAAAAAAAAGAACAAATCTGTGCTGGCGTCTAACTGTGGGAACTACAGAGCTGCAGTTTGAGAAGTGAAAGATAAGGATGATCCTGTAATGAAGAACAAACAATACAGGAAACTGAATCAAACAATAAAATGTGTGGTGGCAACAGATGCAAAGCTTATTTAGTCAGAATAGCAAAAAATTCTGTCATTTATTGAAGGAGGAGTCAATTTGCAGAACAGCATTTAGAAAACAAAGTGCAGGTGGGTTTAAAGCGTATCAGCTGTAAAACACAAAGGGAACAGAGTGACAGCTGAGGACGAGCTGAAGCGAAGGGAAAGACAAACAGAGAGTTTCAGACTGAACATTAACAGAGCGCCTTCATGGAAAAGCCATTTTAAAAACCAGACCAGATAAAGGCCAATTACAAAATATGTTGTCGTGTGAACAGGAACACGGTTCTTCCAACGAGACGCGTTTTCAATTCAACCACACAAGATACGACTCTGTTGGAAAACGCATTTTGTAATAATGTGCGTGCTCAAGTTCTTTTAAAAAGTACCTCAGAATGACATAAAAAACCTCATCACCACCTCAGCAGCAGGCGGTTTAGGCAACAAAACATAAAACCCCTGCAGACAGTCAGAAGCAGCCAGTGAACAGTGCAGAACGCAACAGCTGTGAGCCAGACATGTTCCTCAGGAGCTGGTGGTTACAAAGGAGACAACTCTGGACTTTAATTCTCCCCATGAATGATAATGTTTCTCCTTGTCTGCTGAATGTTGTAAATAACTATGCATCATTCAGCTTGCTTTGGAATCTAAGTGTCCTCAAAAACCAATAAAGTATTGATTTACTTGTGAGCTAAATGACGACCTTAATCCTGTTTATCACAACATTTTTACTCACTTAACTGGAATATAAAACCCTGCACACCTCTTTGGAAAGAGCACAACCATGACTAGAAGTAGAGAGAATTCAGAAATGTCCTTTGTGTAGTTTGAAACAGTTCTAATGCCAGAGGATCATTTTTAAAAAGACAAAAAAAAGTTGAATTTCTTTATTTATTTTACAAAAGCTAACCAAACCTAAACTCTCTCACATTTTTCCAAGTATCCACAGGTGTTACTAATACTGACAACAAGCGTGCCTAGTACAGATATTTTACTACTTGCATTTTTAATTCGTCCCCATCCTCGTTTCTCATCTGCTCTGTGTAAACACAGCCTGCAGTTCAGCTGACAAGTCTCTACATTCTTGTCATGAGACTATCAGCTGAGTCCCTACTGGCTTTACAGTTGCACCAAGAAGTGCAGAATTTTTTGTTTTTTTGTAGAATCTGGTTAAAGCAAACAGTTTATTTTGGGAGAATTTTTAAATGAGATATGTACAGTAAAGCAATTTCAAAGCCATAGCATGATTATAAGTGTAGA